AACTCTTCCATCTACTGGTTCACTCCCAAAATGGCTCCCCGAGATGGGTCAGTCGAACAGGAGCCAGGAGCTTCATCCGGGTCTCCCACATGGATGCAACGGCCCAAGGCTTGGACCATCCTCTCCTGCTTTCCCAGCTCATTAGCAGGGAGCTGGATCAGAAGTGGAGCAGCTGGGGTTTGAACTGGTGCCCATATGGGATGCTGGCACTGCAGGTAGTGGTTTAACTAGCTGTGCCACAGTGCTGGCCCCATAAAAATAAATCCTTTTTAAAAAATAAATGGTGGGCCGGCGCCATGGCTCACTAGGCTAATCCTCCGCCTTGTGGTGCCGGCACACCGGGTTCTGTCCCGGTTGCCCCTCTTCCAGGCCAGCTCTCTGCTGTGGCCAGGGAGTGTAGTGGAGGATGGCCCAAGTGCTTGGGCCCTGCACCCCATGGGAGACCAGGAGAAGCACCTGGCTCCTGGCTCCTGCCATCGGATCAGCGCGGTGCGCCGGCCGCAGGGGCCATTGAGGGGTAAACCAACAGCAAAGGAAGACCTTTCTCTCTGTCTCTCTCTCTCACTGTCCACTCTGCCTGTCAAAAAATAAAAATAAAAATAAAATAAAATAAAATAAATGGAGCTCCCAAACACTCTTTCCAGGCTCTCAGGCCCTCTCTCCCCAGAATCAGGCATCCGTGCCAGGTCTGAGTCCAGTTGCCCAATGTGGCTTTCACAAGGCGTGTTGTGCCATCCATGGCCCTGGTGGAACCAGTCAGGCTAAGCTGACAAGTGAGGTGGGCCCTCTTCCCATCCTGAACCTGCTCTTTCCTTGAAGGCCAGCCCAGTGGGACTGGCAGCAGAACTGGAGGGACTCGGGGAGCTCTGGGTGTGTCCCCGAGGCTGGATCGGGGTGTGTTGTGTCTCTGTGGCTGTGTGGGGACTGCCTTGATACCTCCTTGAGTTGTCTCTGCGGCCTGGGGTGTGGCCTCGGAGGGGCTCTCCTCTAGCTGTGTGTCCTCCTGTGATGCTCCACACTGTGTGCCTCTGGTTGGGTTTGCTGTGGTCCTGGAATTTCGACTGGGAGAAGGCAGCAATTATTAAATAACTGTGGAACCAGGAAACCTGGTTTCAAATTCTGACTGCTTTTTTTTTTTTTTTAAGATTTATTTATTTGTTTGAAAACCAGAGTTGAGAGAGAGAGAGAGAGATCTTCCATCTCTGGTTTACTCCCCAAATAGCTGCAATGGCTCAAGCTGGGCTGATCTGAAGCCAGGAACCAGAAGCTTCTTCCAGGTCTCCCATGTGGGTGCAGGGACCCAAGGACTTGGGCCATCTTCCACTGCTTTCCCAGGCACATTAGCCGGGAGCTGGATGGGAAGTGGAGCAGCTGGGACTTGAACGGGTGCCCATAAAGTGGTGGCTTTACCTGCTATACCACAGTGCCAGTCCCCTGACTGCCTTTTATGGGCTTTGAAACCTGGGGCATGTCACAAAACACTTGACCTCAGTCTTCCCATCTGTAAAGTGGACTCTAGGAAATAGGGTTGTTGAGAGGATTAGACAAGTTCGTTTATGTAAAGTGCACAGAATTGTGCCTGGCACTTAGGAAAAGTTTTGTGATGATGATGAGGGTGATGATGATGATGATGTTGGTCTGGTTGCTGGGGAAACATCAGTGAGCAAAAGCAAGTATTGGGCCGAGTATGTGGCGAGTGGTTAAGATGCCTGCGTCCCATATCAGAGTGTCTGGGTTTGAGTCCGCACTTGGATTCCAAATCAACCTCCTGCTAATGCGTACCCTGGGAGGCACCAGATGGTGGCTGAAGTACCTGGGTCTCTGCCACCCACATGGGAGATGCGGGTGGAGTTCTGGAGTCCTGGCTTTGGCCTGGCCGGCCCTGGCTGTTTACAGGCCTTTAGGGAGTAGATCAGAGGATGGAAGATCTCTCTCTGCCTTTCAGTAAATAAAAGTATATAAATAAAACTTTAAAAATTCCAAACAGGGGCCGGCGCTGTGGTGCAGTAGGTTAATCCTCTGCCTGCGACGCCAGCATCCCATATGGGTGCTGATTCTAGTCCCGGTTGCTCCTCTTCCAATCCAGCTCTCTGCTGTGGCCTGGGAAAGCAGTGGAGGATGGCCCAAGTACTTGGACTCCTGCACCATGTGGGAGACCAGGAAGAAGCACCTGGCTCCTGGCTTTGGATCGGCGCAGCTCTGGCCATTGCAGCCATTTGGGGAGTGAACCAATGGACAGAAGACCTTTC